GATGGGTTGTGTTCATGCGCATGCCCTATATAGTTGTTGAAGTGTATCAATCACCTTTCAACAGACCCACACTGCTTAGAACATCTTCAGAGAGCAGATGCAATCAAATATCTGATTCCCAATCTTGACCTCAAAGAGGGACCCCTTGTTTCCCAAATCCATCATGAGGTGAGCCTAATAATCTTTAATATTCGTTTGAAGGCTGTTGTATTTTTTCATGCATACATTATTGCTAGACAAGAATCTGATAAGCTTCACCTGGAAAGAATATGTTTAGTTTAGACTTTAGAGGTGAAATGCTTACCCTTTGACGACAAGGGTCATGAATAGAGGTATTAGAAACAGTTCATTTAGAGTTAAACTGTTACAGTTACATGGTTATTCCTTACCTTTATCTGAATGTTGAGTTAGTAATCTGACAGTTGGTAATTCCTTAATAGTTTGGAAGGAATTTATGAGCCATTTTCCTTTGGTGGCTCTCACACTGCTAATTCATGCACATCAACTTCTTTTTTAAAAATAAAATTCAATAGTTAACAACGAGGATCTTTACGGATACTCATATTTGTTTTGACCTGGTGGGTGTCAACTTGTATCTAATTGGTCCAGATCACCAAGCAGTTTACTTGTAAGGTTGTGTAAGGAGGTTGAGTCTTTATACGCACTGAAGCTGTAGGTAGTAATTTCTGAAATGTTCTTACTTCAGTGGTCTGCTATTTATTTTGTATTCATTAACAAATTGTGAAAGTATACCAATGCATGTGGATGAATTATTACGAAATTGATTTTTATGGAGGTTCTCAATGCATTGTTCAACCTCTGCAAGATCAATAAGAGGAGACAAGAACAGGCAGCAGAAAATGGAATTATCCCACATTTGATGCATATTATAATGTCTGGATCTCCATTGAAACAATATGCATTGCCTCTTTTATGTGATATGGCTCATGCATCACGCAATTCTAGAGAACAGCTAAGAGCACATGGTGGATTGGACGTGTACCTTAGCCTTCTGAAAGATGAGCTCTGGTCTGTTACTGCATTAGATTCCATTGCTGTTTGTTTAGCACACGACAATGACAGCAGGAAACTGGAACAAGCATTGCTTAAAAAGGATGCTATATAGAAACTGGTTAAGTTCTTTCAGTGCTGTCCAGAACAGTATTTTCTGCACATATTGGAGCCTTTTTTTAAAGATTATCACGTATGTCATTTCCCAGTTTTACCTACATGCACATTATCATCTTTCAGTGGATCAGCTTTCGTGCTATTGGTGAAGACATTGCCTAATATTTGAGTTAATTTTAAATGCAGCAAATCATCACGAATAAACACCACACTGGCTGTCAATGGTTTGACCCCATTGTTAATATCTAGACTTGATCATCAGGATGCTATAGCTCGTCTCAATCTTCTAAAATTAATAAAGGTAAGAATTTCTTTTTTTGTTTAATGTTTAATTTATAAATGGGATGGTAATAGTAATGATAATAATAATAAATGGATATTGGGGTTCATTGAAGTTTCATCTTGTGAGGATGAAAAACACATTTTGTTCTGATAGTAGAGGTTTAACATCACAATCTCAGGGTATATCTAACACATACATTCACACTCCCTCCGTCCCATAAAAATTGTACAGGTCAAATTATTTCTTATTTTCTATTTCATTACCTATTTTCGTTAATCATATGTTAAGATAGCAGTCATGTCACCTCCTGTTTTATTGAGCTTTTGATGTATTTTTAAAATATATAAAATTTTATTTTAAAATTTTACACCAAATTTGAAAATAATTTCAGTCAACCTTTGCTCTCTACAATGGGACAATTTTTTTAGGATGGGGGGAGTTCAGGTTTTTTTCTTATGGGTTTTGTCATTTAGGACGGGGGGAGTTAATGTTTTTTCTTATTTTACAGCTGAAATAGCATTCAAGATCCTTAACTTTGACATAGTACTCAATTACTCAAAAGACCTACACTTTAAAGCTGCTCATTTAAGGACTTCAACTTCAGTGTTACCCAATACCCATATACGGGATTTCTAAAAGTGTTTCTTACTGTTAAACAGCATGACTCAAAACCAGTAGGTATATGACACATGGATGTAGTTATTAAGATTGTGCCAAAACTATGCACTCTCTTAAAGAACTTAGGACTGTCTATCAGAATGCTGACTCTATCAGAATGCTGACTCATATCTTTATAAAATCCAAAGTGATCATTAAAAATGGTTACATTAGAGTAGTAGTTTGAGATGTCATTAAAAATATGAGTTTGACATCGGCACGACAGAGGCGGATCCAAGATTTTACGGTCATGAGGTCCCCTACCTGGCTACCAGAGGCGGATCCAGGATTTTACGGCCTTGGGGTCCCCTACCCAGCTACCTCCCATTCTCATGTCAAAGTACTTCATAAGTAACATTTAAAAATAAATTAAACAGGAGTGGATTGAGTACTTTCTTGAATAACTAAAAATCGGGGGCACCAGTAGAGGGCCGCAGATCCGATCTCTAAATCCCTCTGCCGCCCTGCAATCCTATTTGTCGCATACCTTTTCTCGTTCATGTGCCGTCGTGTTTTCAATTGATACTGGTACTCTTCTAGCATATAAAGTAGGGGACGAAGGTAATAGATTCGAGAGGTGAAATCCCTACGTTATATGAGAGATTTGTAAATGGATTTCTATTTATATGATGAACCTTGAAATCCATCAAAATCTGCTTTTAACAAAAATTCTTGAGAATCTGTAGACTTTTTAATACCTTTAGATTTTGATTGATATTTTAAAATCTTAATTGAAAACATCTAGATTTTTATGGATTTTTTAAAATCTTAATTGAATACCCATAGACTTTTCAAATCCTAAAAAATACTGCTGAATCAACGTTTAATACACCCCCTTTAGTAGCAACCTGATTCGCTAACTTGTTGATTCGGGTTACGCGGGTTTGGGTGTTACACTAGCCACATCACAAGGCACTCGACAGTTTTCTCGAGGTCGGCCTCATCCACCTCGCAGTTTTTTAATTTAGGTTTTTTTCTCAGCATGTTTTTAATGAGGCATCCCCCATGGAGTGAATCACACATCGATGAGACTGTGAGCGGATTCTTGAAGATGACAAACGAACTGCATATGATGATTTCTTCATCCACTCTTATGATGCTCATTGCGCTCTAAGCCAATGATGTACTTTGTACCAGAGAAGATCCTTTCAAAACAATGACCAAATTATGTTGTTTTTTTCTTGCTTTGCCATGCTAGACAGCGAGTCGGCAGTGCACCTTGTACTGATTGGTGCAGTCTCTCTTTGCCACTCTGGACAGCGAGTCGGTAGTGCACCTCGTATTGATTGGTGTAGTTTTTCTTTACCACTCCGGACAGCGAGCTGGTAGCACTTCATGAAGATTTGCGTAGTTTTTCATACTTGCCATGCTCCGGACAGCGAGTTGGGACGACGTGTCAGTTGTGTGCCATTCCGTGATGGATTTTGTTCTACTTCCTTTTCGCCTCGAGTTCCCACCTGCTCGGGAAGTGGGGGACTCATGATGGATACTCTGGACATGTAAGTATCCCGTCTTTGTATAATATTAGTTGGGGCGGTTCATAAAGTATAGTAATGTGTACGTGTACAGTGTCACTTTACCTCTACATTACCAAAGTGCGAACTCTTATTCGAGAATAAAAACATGGAAGTCTCATTTTGGTACTTTTTCTATGTTTTAGTTGTATTTAGGATGATTTTTATTACTTATTTAGTGGCGACCCAATCTTTTGGGCTGACTCATTAGTTTTGTATATGGGCCTAAACTTTAACCCTTATTTTTCCCTATTTATACCCCTCTTCCTAGATGAGGGGGGGCAATTCATTCGATACACACAACACATTACTCTTTTCTTCTTTTTCTACTCATAGATTCACAAATCTATCAAGATTAATAGAAGTCATAGATATTCTCTCTCTACTAAATAATCAATTAGTATTTTTCTTTCATTTCTATATCAAAGCAGTGTACAAAGTATATTTTTTGTGATGAAAGGATATATTAGAGCAGAATTGGAAAATAAAGTGGCATAGAATAGGCTACTGCCTCTTCTTGAAATGAGGAATTTAAATTGACAATACATTTCATGATCAACACTTGTATTTTCCCTTTCTTTCTACCGTTGGTGTTGAGCATGACTTTAATTTGCTGGTATGCTTTCCTATTTGAATTGTCCCAAAATTTTCTTATCTTTGTTTTTTAAAAAATAGTTATGTAGTCCTTATTAATTTTTTTTTATCTTCACATATTTCACTTTATCGAAAATCGTGCCAAATTAAACTTGGAAGGTAATTCCAGAACAAAGAGAATTTTCATTATTAGTTGTTAAAAAGACATATCAGCTCTTATTTTGTATAGTTATTAATGTACTTTTTAATAATGTATTTTTATTTATTAAATATAAAAAATAATACTAAATAGAAGTAAAACACATTATTTATTCTCAAATTAGGACTTTCATATTTTATCTCCAAATAAAACTTTGTATTTTGACATTATGATATTGTATAGTGAGATTTCATTATGTTTTTGGTATTACAGGTTGGAATTTTGAACATAACGGGCAACCTTGGACGTAAATTTGGTAGGGTTCACAAAATTATTTTTTCCAAATAATTATGGACGAACATTACTCTAAGTGAGACGAGTATTTTGATATATTGTGCGCCAAAATTGGTGCTCAGGTGAATGTGAAATTAATTCACAAAGTCGCTCACTTAGAAGGGGAAAAACCCACGTTTTCCACATCGGTTTTGAAACCCTTCAACTTCCTCCATTTATATGCTAGTCTTTAATAACATTGTAAAAGCAATTTATGGAGGGAGAACCAAGGGAGCCCTCGCGCACCGCCGTCGCTGTCTGGCTCGGCACGACATGCACGCGCGAATAAAAAGCTAGAAAACAGGAATCACCTTAAGTATATTGCCGAAAATCAGATCTGTTAGATTCTGGTTTGGACCTGATTATCCGGTCTAGTTCGAATAAAACCAGAAAACCTGGGATTTTTTTTATATTTTTTGTCAAATTTTTTAAACTTGTTTTTCAACTATGTAGCTTGATTTGAAATGATTTCTACCCTATTCTTAATTTATATATTCATTTGGAGTGTTTCGAAAAACTATATTAATGTAACATATTTTAATCAACAATATTGTAAGTTTAAAATAAGTTTTTTACTTTTGTTAGTTTGTGGGATTTCAAAAATATTATAAAGTTATGATTTAAATTATTTTGTTTTTTTACAAAATAATTAAATGTCAAATAATGTAATACTCTGAATTGAAATATTTTACTTTCACTTTTTTCTGAAATTGTTTTAATTTTTTATAATTATTGAGATTTTTGGGTAAAGGTCAATGACTATAATTATTGAAAGGAATGAAAATCCATTAAAAATTACACATTACATTTAAAAAATTATACTCTATAATAAAGTAAGAAGAAAAAATAAAAATGCAAAGTTGTATTATCAATACTTCGTATTATAGGTATTAAAAATACGAAAAGTTACATTCTGATCTTACCAGTCCGACCTGTAAACTAACCCGTGTTGGACCGAAATAGATCTGATTTTTACTAGTCCTTAATGTTTAGAACAGAACCAGTTTTTTCAGTCGATCAGACCCACATTTTGTACCGCAAATTGTTATTGGAAGGAGTTCATTTCTCTCCATCATCTAACCAAGTAAGAAAAATGCTAGGGGTACACCAAATTATATACCCCATTTGTCCCCACCCCTTCCTTATCCACAAAAAAAGCAAGAAATTCAAAAAAAAAATAAATAAATAAAAATAAAATAAAAATAAGTAATGGTGTATAAAGGGTTGGGGTGAAGTACCAAAACTAGATAAGCATAAAGGGTTGGGGTGAAGTACCAAAACTAATTCCGGGGGGCAATCAGTTGCAGACCACACACAACAGCGCTACTAGTGTGACCATTTTTGACGGCAGCAGTCGCTCTCTATGTCCTCAGAAACCGCCGTCATCGCATGGTTGGTTCTTAAACCCTAAAACCCGCTTTCCAATATCATCCTCTGTGCTGTTTCTCCAGCGTTGTGTTCATGAATATACATATTTATGTGTGTCCAAATGACTGTTTAACAGGGGCTCGGGAGAAGACGGACAGTTAGGAATAGGGGATAACGAAGAGCATGAATGGGTTTGCTCGATCAAAGCTCTTCAGTCCGAGAAGGTTTGTTCAGTTGTCGCCGGCAGCCGGAACTCTCTAGCAATCTGCGAGAACGGCAAGGTACTCTCAAGAATCAACTTATTGTGTATGGCCTAAAGCTTCTTTTTTTATTTGATTTAGTTTTGCCTTAATTTTCACCGAATAGTTGTTCACATGGGGCTGGAATCAGAGGGGGACCTTGGGCCACCCACCTGAGACTAAGACTGAGAATTTTCCCAGTCAAGTTAAAGCTCTTTCCAATGCCAAGATTGTTCAGGTGATCTCAGTTCTGAATGTTAATGCCAAGAGGACGAGAAATTTTGGCACTAATGCTGAGTCCAATGTTGTATTTTCTGATTTCAGGCGGCTATTGGCGGATGGCATTGTCTGGCCGTAGATGACCAAGGGCGAGCGTATGCTTGGGGTTTAAGATTATTTGCTTTGTCATTGATTCTTTGGAAAACATGAAATAATTGACTATGGATAAAAAGAATCTCTGGATGATATCTTTTTCGAATTTTCAAAAAATGCTCCATAGTATTGTCAATATTTTTGTGAATAAAAGAGTAATTCTTTGCTCTCAAAATTAAATCACTTCAGGTGGGAATGAGTATGGTCAGTGTGGTGAAGAACCAGAGAGGAAGGATGACTCAGGAAAGCCTGTGAGGAGGGATATTGTTATTCCACAGCGATGTGTGCCAAAGCTTTCTGTGAGCCAGGTGAAATTATGCTCAATGTGCCATTTCTCTCTGTCTCTCTCTCTGGGATTTTAAACTTATTCTCCCCCATGTGTCCAGGGGCGGACCTAGAAGTTTCATGTCGTGGGGTTGTGTTTGTGAGATGTTTAATGAACACACGACATGTTGTGCATTAAATAAAAAAGTGTTTTTTGAAACATTTTGTCTCATTTTTGTTTATAATGTTTCCTATAACATTTTTTATTGAATTTATTTAAATATTGGCTTTGAATATAAACTTCGAAATAATAGATTAAAAAATAACTTAAAACATTTTATAAAATAAGTTCATAACTAATTTTTAAGAAAATGATAGACGAAAACATGTAACGAAAGAATATCTAAATTGACTCTGTAAATAATCGAAAAGAAAAATATAACGAGATGATGGAGTAATTCATAAAATTAAAGATTATATTTATTGGAAAAATATTAAAGTGAATTGAAAATATATAATTGTATTACAATGTGAATATAAATTATAACTTATACGAAGTAACCAGTAACATCAATTTTCTATATTTTAAGATTATATTATTATAATATTATCACTAATAGTAACAAATATGTGTCTACCTCCTCCGTCCCAAACTTAATTAAATTATTACTATGCTGACAAACTCTCCTTTGCTTATGTGTTTTTATTGATTATTTAATAAAATAAAATATTCTCGTTACATCTTGTTTTATAAAAAAATTACATATTTTTTATTATGTAAATTATACTCTCTCTATCTCAGAATATTCATATAGTATGATTTTTTTTGTCAAATTGGATAAACATTTATTTCAATATCAATTTGTAAATAAAGTATATGTAAAAAATTATTGATTTTGTACTTGTTTTGAAAAAGTCAAATCAATTATTAGAGAAAATGAATATGAGTAGACAATAAAAGAATGAAACCAAAAAAGCAATTAAAAAGTAGCGAACAAAAAAAGAAGAAAAACAAAGAAAGCGAAAAAGTGAAAAATATTGGTATCCCTACATGGAGGCTCGAACTCAAGACGCAGTATATGATTTTCTAGGCGCTAACCACTCCGCCAATCGGTCAAACTACTCTCAGATGCGTTTTCGTATATATATATATATATATATATATATATATATATATATATATATATATATATATATATATATATATATAAAATCAAACCCTAAATACATATATACAAATATTTAAAAATTACAAAATTTCCGTGGGGTCGTGTGACCCCGTGTGATCCTATGTGGGTCCGCCCCTGCATGTGTCTGCTAGTAACTCTGCAAAGAACATTTTCCCTCAATTTTCTGCTCAATGTGCTCCTTCATTTTTGATGGACTCGAAGATTCACTTTTTTGGCTTNGATGGAATAAAGCAAAATGACTCTTTAAACTTTTTGCGTTTTTTTATAGTGAAGTAACAATTAGTCATTGCAACTTTCGACGCTCTATACATTATTATCACTCCCTCCATCCAATTTTTGTTCATTTCTTTTATGGATGTATGTAATTAATTGTCTACTTACTGTATTTAGCAAACTAGTTATGTGAATTGTTGCCATCAATGAAGGACAAACTAATTTAAGTTTTTGTTTTTGTTGTTATTTTACCCCCATTCTTTAAATTTGGGGTACTTTAGAAAGTAAACAACAAAAGTATTGTTATTTTTCACATGCATGTGGTCACATAGTAATAAAATTGCACTCCAGATATGTGTAAGATATTCTTTCTTAGACATTGTTTAGGCACACCTCTAGGGATGCAAGATAACATCACTTTTGGTTGCTAATCCTTAAGACTCACTAAATTCAGCA